ACTGCTATTAGTAGATTACTACAGTACAATCTACTCAATGACTAACATAGGAATGATCAATTATGTGATTTCTAAATATTAAATTGCATTTTTTCTGTTATACAAAACGTATTTGAGTCATCAATACACTGAATAAGACGCAACACGAAGAATGTGAGATAAGGTTGTTGACGCATAAAGTTATTATCAGTTCTACTGTAGAAATTCTTTAGATTAGAATTATTACTTACTGGTACTATATAAGACCAAGCAACTGCAGTCATGGAGTTAGTGTATGGTCGTTTGACCGCAGTGTATCTATCAATAATACATTTGCGTTACTTCAACGCATCAAAGGCCATAGATGTAAGTGTTTAATCTATTGACAAACTTACTTTTCTTTCTGTTATTTTTACGTGTGTATGATTTTGAACGACAGGCCTGTTGGTCTAGTGGTTAGTGACCCTGACTGTTATGCCGGAGGTCGTGGGTTCGATTCCCACCCAGGACAAATGTTTGTGTGATGAGCACGATCATTTGTTCTGTGTCTGGGTGTAATTTATCTATAATATTCATGTATTTATTTAGAAATATATAAGTATGTTTATCAGTTGTCTAGTACCCATAACACAAGCTCTGCTTAGCTTGGGGCTAGATGGCGTTGTGTGATAGTTGTGGAATATTATTATTATTATTATTATTTAGTGTTAACAAATTATATTTAAATATTTTGTGTGTCTATATGATTAAGCCGTGGTAGCTCAGATGGTTAGCGCAAGCTGTAAATTGTACAGTACGTAACGCGGGTTCGATCCCCGCCGACACCAATTAAATTGTTAATTGCAATTTTAAGTGTTTATTCTATTGACACACTTACTTTTCTTTCTGTTATTTTCTTACGTGTGTATGATTTAGTGTTAACAAATTATATTTAAATATTGTGTGTGTATATGATTAAGCCGTGGTAGCTCAGATGGTTAGCGCAAGCTGTAAATTTTACAGTACGTAACGCGGGTTCGATCCCCGCCGACACCAATTAAATTGTTAATTGCAATTTTAAGTGTTTATTCTATTGACACACTTACTTTTCTTTCTGTTATTTTTTACGTGTGTATGATTTAGTGTTAATAAATTACATTTAAATATTGTGTGTGTATATGATAAAGCCGTGGTAGCTCAGATGGTTAGCGCAAGCTGTAAATTTTACAGTATGTAACGCGGGTTCGATCCCCGCCGACGCCACTTAAATTGTTAATTGCAATTTTAAGTGCTGATTTACCACGTGCTCGGCGGGGAAGGAAAACATCGTGAGGAAACCTGCATGTCTGAGAAAATTTCGAAGGCATGTGAAGTTCGCCAACACGCATTGACACCGCGCCGCGGACATTTCCTAGCCATAAATACAAAGACAATAGCAGAAAGTAAAAAGTTAAAAAATACTTTTTTAACAATGACAGTCATTAGTTGATCATTAGTGAATGTGATTCTGTTTTCTTAAATTACAGGAAGAAAAGAGCAGAAGGAAGAAATGGGGTGATGGGAAGTAATGAAGAATGAATTGTTATGTGAAGTTTGTTGGAACAAACATATTTTAGTCACGTGTAAATACTTTTAACATTTTGGTTCAAAATGACACAAAATCTAAAAAATATTAGATACATCATCGACATGGACGGATTTTACATTACATATCCTCATAAACATTTTCAATGTAGAGAAATGGCTATTCTAGACGTAAAACTATCTAATAAAAATGATTCGTTTATCGATCATTATTTGTTTCAGCCAAGTTATCCTTTCAATTATTTGTCGCGAAAAGACAAAAAACTGTTCGTTATTGTGAAATACACGTGCACGGCATTCCATATTTTGATGTGACCGAAGAATTAAAATGTGCCTACAAACAAGAGAACATCATTCCCATATTAAATTGGTATATTAGAAATTTGTGCAAAGACGAAGTGATCGCATACAAAAGTGGTTCAACAGAAAAACAATTTTTAAAAATGTTGACGACGAATGATAGAATTTTTAATATTGAATAATACAAATGTCCAAAATACAATGATTTGGTAAATGTCATAAATTTAAACAAACGTTATGTGTGTAATAATCATATATTTGCAAAAAAATAATCACAAAATTTTACATTGTTCTTGTGACGAAGTGTGGGTTTTTTACAAGTGGTTATTGCTTGAAAATAAAATTTTAAATTAATCATAAATTTTGTTTGATTTCCCAAAAACATTAGTTATAGTATACTATATAATACAAAATTGGTTCAACAGAAAAACAATTTTTAAAAATGTTGACGACGAATGATAGAATTTTTAATATTGAAGAATACAAATGTCTAAAATACAATGATTTGGTAAATGTCATAAATTTAAACAAACGTTATGTGTGTAATAATCATATATTTGCAAAAAATAATCACAAAATTTTACATTGTTCTTGTGACGAAGTGTGGGTTTTTTACAAGTGGTTATTGCTTGAAAATAAAATTTTAAATTAATCATAAATTTTGTAACTAATGTTTTTGGGAAATCAATCTTTACCAAATCATTGTATTTTGGACATTTGTATTCTTCAATATTAAAAATTCTATCATTCGTCGTCAACATTTTTAAAAATTGTTTTTCTGTTGAACCAATTTTGTATTATATAGTATACTATAACTAATGTTTTTGGGAAATCAAACAAAATTTATGATTTATTTAAAATTTTATTTTCAAGCAATAATCACTTGTAAAAAACCCACACTTCGTCACAAGAACAATGTAAAATTTTGTGATTATTTTTTGCAAATATATGATTATTACACACATAACGTTTGTTTAAATTTATGACATTTACCAAATCATTGTATTTTGGACATTTGTATTCTTCAATATTAAAAATTCTATCATTCGTCGTCAACATTTTTAAAAATTGTTTTTCTGTTGAACCACCTTTGTATGCGATCACTTCGTCTTTGCACAAATTTCTAATATAAAAAAAAGTAAAGTTACAGCCTATATACGTCCCACTGCTGGGCTCAGGCCTCCCCTCATTTCTGAGAGGGTTTAGGGCAAGGAAGTGTCCGCCGCGCTGCCCAAATGCGTGTTGACGAACTTCACATGTCTTCGAAATATTTTTTTTTCTTATTCCTCAGACATGCAGGTTTCCTCACGATGTTTTCCTTCACCGCCGAGCACGTGGTAAATCAACACTTAAAATTGCAATTAACAATTTCATTGGTGCCGGCGGGGATCGAACCCGGGTTACTCGCGTTCTGTTATATTTCCAGCGAGCGTTAACCACTGAGCTACCACGACTCGTTTTCTAATATACCAATTTAATATGGGAATGATGTTCTCTTGTTTGTAGGCACATTTTAATTCTTCGGTCACATCAAAATATGGAATGCCGTGCACGTGTATTTCACAATAACGAACAGTTTTTTTGTCTTTTGGCGGCAAATAATTGAAAGGATAACTTGGCTGAAACAAATAATGATCGATAAACGAATCATTTTTATTAGATAGTTTTACGTCTAGAATAGCCATTTCTCTACATTGAAAATGTTTATGAGGATATGTAATGTAAAATCCGTCCATGTCAATGATGTATCTAATATTTTTTAGATTTTGTGTCATTTTGAACCAAAATGTTAAAAGTATTTACACGTGACTAAAATATGTTTGTTCCAACAAACTTCACATAACAATTCATTCTTCATTACTTCCCATCACCCCATTTCTTCCTTCTGCTCTTTTCTTCCTGTAATTTAAGAAAACAGAATCACATTCACTAATGATCAACTAATGACTGTCATTGTTAAAAAAGTATTTTTTAACTTTTTTACTTTCTGCTATTGTCTTTGTATTTATGGCTAGGAAATGTCCGCGGCGCGGTGTCAATGCGTGTTGGCGAACTTCACATGCCTTCGAAATTTTCTCAGACATGCAGGTTTCCTCACGATGTTTTCCTTCACCGCCGAGCACGTGGTAAATCAGCACTTAAAATTGCAATTAACAATTTAAGTGGCGTCGGCGGGGATCGAACCCGCGTTACATACTGTAAAATTTACAGCTTGCGCTAACCATCTGAGCTACCACGGCTTTATCATATACACACACAATATTTAAATGTAATTTGTTAACACTAAATCATACACACGTAAAAAAATAACAGAAAGAAAAGTAAGTGTGTCAATAGAATAAACACTTAAAATTGCAATTAACAATTTAATTGGTGTCGGCGGGGATCGAACCCGCGTTACGTACTGTAAAATTTACAGCTTGCGCTAACCATCTGAGCTACCACGGCTTAATCATATACACACACAATATTTAAATATAATTTGTTAACACTAAATCATACACACGTAAGAAAATAACAGAAAGAAAAGTAAGTGTGTCAATAGAATAAACACTTAAAATTGCAATTAACAATTTAATTGGTGTCGGCGGGGATCGAACCCGCGTTACGTACTGTAAAATTTACAGCTTGCGCTAACCATCTGCGCTACCACGGCTTAATCATATACAAACACAATAATTTAATATAATTTGTTAACACTAAATCATACACACGTAAGAAAATAACAGAAAGAAAAGTAAGTGTGTCAATAGAATAAACACTTAAAATTGCAATTAACAATTTAATTGGTGTCGGCGGGAATCGAACCCGCGTTACGTACTGTACAATTTACAGCTTGCGCTAACCATCTGAGCTACCACGGCTTAATTATATAGACACACAAAATATTTAAATATAATTTGTTAACACTAAATAATAATAATAATAATAATAATAATAAAGCGGCGTAGGGAAGTGACGACCCCATCGCCCGCTGACGTAACAGTTATGTGACAAAACTGCTACGTCGGCGCAGTCAGTCAGCATCCTGCCAAGAGGTGTGAGCGCCGTGCCTAGGCAAAATTGTAGGTGCAAAGGTCCGTTTGTGCATATGACCCAACCACGAAACGGTGCCGGGTTTGGGCGTCTCCCGTTATTTGGCGCCCATAAAATGGATGATGGCACAAAGAGGAACGCGCATAGGGCCGCTGCCTGGGGGTCGCCGGGGCGCGTCTGGAGCTGGCGCTGGACGCGGCAGCATGCGGGCCGCCAGCCGAGCGCGAGGAGCTGCACGATCACCTAGCAGCCCCTCGCATCCATCATCCCCACCAGAAGGCTTGGTGTCGGCTGGGTCTTCTCGGACTCAGCAAGCGGCACCCGCCGCTGGTGGAGCACGTCGCATGCGTTGGACAAAACCTATGAATGAAAACGCATTGCGGGCGTACTATAGGGCGAAAGGGGAAGAAACTGTGGGAATAGCGTATAGGTCTCGGATGCATTGCTTTTTTGCTGAGCTGGAGCCTTCTACCCCCGTCACGGAACAAAACCTGGCAGACCGAGTTCGGTACATCATGCGCTCGAAAATATTTGATGATGCCGAACTCGGACGACTACGACGTGAGGCTATTCCGTCGTCGAATGAATCGGCTATGGCTGGAGATGCAGCTCCACATTCGACAGACCAGCATCCACACGTGGAAGCCGCCCTGGATCTTCCCGTTGTGGTTGATTCGAACGACGATGAAATAGTCTCCCACGAACTAGAGAAAATGAGGAGTATACTGGAAGAGGCGATTTTGGAAACGCGCAGCACCCCTATCGAAAATCGACCGCGACTTCCCCGCATACCCCTAAGCAAGCGAAATCGGGCTGTCGTGAGGGCTCTTAACCCAATGCTGGTGACCTATTTGGAAGCCAGCCGGGACCTTTGCGAGACGGACTCAATTCTCTTTGGCGCCGCAGTGGCAGTTTGCCGTATTATTGGCGCCAAACTTCCCATGGCTGGACGCGCTACTACACAAAGTAGCGCCATCCCAGCCTGGAGAAAAAGAATCGAGGACCGTATCGCAAAGGCAAGGGCCCTTATCGGCAGACTGACAAGCTTCAGGTCGGGTAATAATAGACCGAGGATTATGCGCACCGTTAGGATGGCGTTTGCTGGGACAAATATCAGTTTGTCCCAGCCGGATATCACGCAGAAACTAACGGAGCGCATAGACGACCTGAAGCAAAAGATCGCTGCTTGGGGGAAGCGGATTCGACGATTTACCGACAGGTCAAGGCGGTTCAACCAGAATCGTCTCTTCCAGAGTGATCAGAAGAGGCTCTATAAATCATTGGAGCGGCCAAAGGTATGTGGAGCGGGCCAAGGACCGGATCAGGCAGACATTATCGCATTCTGGCGTGGCCTGTGGTCAGAGCCCGTAAACCACAGCGAGGGCCCTTGGATGGAAGTTGTGGCGAGCCAGGGTGCGAGTGTTACGCCTATGGACCCCATCACCGTAACGCCGGAAGACGTGGCTGAGGCGGTCCGTAGGGCCCCGAACTGGAAAAGTCCGGGGCTCGACGGGCTGCATCATTACTGGCTGAAGGGGTTCATAGTGTGTCACGCTGTGCTCGCCCGACAGTTTCAAGAGGCTCTCGACCAGAAGTCGCTCCCGAGCCTCTTCACTACTGGGATCACTCACTTGGTTCCTAAAGATCAGGATACCACAGACCCGAGCAAATACCGCCCCATCACGTGTCTACCCACCATATATAAGACACTGACATCCATTTTGAGCGCGAGAATCACTCGGCACCTGGAGCTAAACCAGTTGATGTCACGCGCTCAAAATGGATGTCGGGGCGGTGGTCGTGGAACCAAGGAACCACTCCTCATTGACGCGGTCATTGGCAAAGTGGTGAAACGCAACCGTCGGAACTTCTCTGCCGCCTGGATAGACTATAGAAAGGCATTCGACTCGGTGCCCCATACATGGCTAAAGAGGGTCCTCGAGCTGTACAAGATTGACTGTACAGTTAGAGACTTCCTCGAGCAGTGTATGGGGCAGTGGAGTACGATCCTTTGTCATCTGGGCGAGCGGATGATGGCTGCGGAGAACCACATAAGGATAAGAAGGGGTATCTTCCAGGGCGATTGTCTGAGTCCAATCTGGTTCTGCCTCTCTCTAAACCCTCTCAGTACCTTACTGGAGGGCTCCGGGAGGGGATTTCAGCTACGGAGAGGAGGGACAAAAGTGACCCACCTTTTTCTATATGGATGACCTCAAGTTATTCGCCTCCAGTCGCTCCCATCTTATGGAACTGCTAAACATCACTTGTGAATTTAGCAGTTCCATTGGAATGGAGCTGGGGACGGATAAGTGTGCGGTCCTCCATGTTGAGAGGGGAAGGGTTGCTAACTCTGAGGGCATAGACTTGTCTATGCCCGTCAACTTAAGGACCCTTTCCGAGGCTGAAACATACCGATACCTGGGTATGTCACAGAACATCGGTATCGATGAGGCTGGTATGAAACAGTCAGTTTGCGACGTGTTTTATGCACGCTTGACCAAAGTGCTTAACAGCCTTTTGTCCGGTGTGAATAAGTCACACGCATATAATTGCTGGGTCATGCCTGTCCTCATGTATACCTTTGGCATACTCAGGTGGACTCAGACTGAGCTTAACGCCCTGGATAGAAAAGTCCGCACTACCATGACGTCCCATAGGATGCATCATCCGAGATCGTCGGTAATGAGGCTGTACTTGCCGCGAAAGCATGGTGGGCGTGGCTTTCTGAGCGCGCTCACCATGCATAATCGCGAAGTGTGCAGTCTCCGTCAATACTTCTTGACGAGATCGGATGATCCATTCTATAATGACGTCATTTCTAGTGATAAAGGGCTTACCCCTCTATCCTTAGCCAACGAGCAATGGCAGGACCCGGCAGTGCTTAGCATTCCCGACCGGGAGACCGTATGGAAGGAGAAGGAGCTCCACGGGAGGTACTACAAGGCTCTACATGAGCCCTTCGTAGATACAGTCGCCTCCCTCAACTGGCTACGTTTCGGTGACCTTTTCGGGGAAACCGAGGGTTTTGTCTGTGCAATACAAGATCAGGTTATTAAGACCAACAACTATCGGAGATACATCCTAAAGGATGGCACCGTCGACGTCTGTCGAGCTTGTCGCCATCCCGGGGAGTCACTTAGGCATGTCATCTCCGGTTGTTCGGCGCTTTCTAACTCTGAGTACTTGCACAGGCACAACCTAGTAGCCAGAATTCTACACCAGGAGCTCGCTCTGAAATACGGTCTCGTGGACCGGAAAGTGCCGTATTACAAGTACTTGCCGGAAGCCGTGCTCGAAAATGACCGCGCCAGGCTCTACTGGGACCGGGCCATCATCACAGACAGGACTATTCTTGCGAATAAACCTGATATTGTGCTGATGGACCGGGCACAGTCAAGAATATTTTTGGTCGATATTACCATCCCGTATGACGAGAACCTCGTGAAAGCCGAAACAGATAAGCAATCAAAGTATCTGGACCTGGCTCACGAGGTGACCGACATGTGGGGTGGTATGCCGACCGAAATTATTCCTGTAGTCGTCTCTGCGAATGGGCTAATCCCAGTTAGCCTCTCTGGTCATCTGAGGCGACTGGGACTCCGTGACGGACCGCTCCGGGCTCAAATGCAGAAGGCGGTGCTCCTTGATACTGCCCGCATCGTCCGCCGGTTTCTTTCCCTTTCCCCCTAACCCTCGGCCGTTTGGTCTCCTCTGCCGAGGGCTTCCATCTGGTTGGGCTTTTATTTATTTATGTATTTTTGTATTTATTTTATTTTATTAATATTTATGTATATTTATCTTTTCATTTTCATTTATAATTATATATTTATACATCCCAACCAGATGAGAAAACTATATAGATACCCCACATAATAATAATAATAATATTCCACAACTATCACACAACGCCATCTAGCCCCAAGCTAAGCAGAGCTTGTGTTATGGGTACTAGACAACTGATAAACATACTTATATATTTCTAAATAAATACATGAATATTATAGATAAATTACACCCAGACACAGAACAAATGATCGTGCTCATCACACAAACATTTGTCCTGGGTGGGAATCGAACCCACGACCTCCGGCATAACAGTCAGGGTCACTAACCACTAGACCAACAGGCCTGTCGTTCAAAATCATACACACGTAAAAAATAACAGAAAGAAAAGTAAGTTTGTCAATAGATTAAACACTTACATCTATGGCCTTTGATGCGTTGAAGTAACGCAAATGTATTATTGATAGATACACTGCGGTCAAACGACCATACACTAACTCCATGACTGCAGTTGCTTGGTCTTATATAGTACCAGTAAGTAATAATTCTAATCTAAAGAATTTCTACAGTAGAACTGATAATAACTTTATGCGTCAACAACCTTATCTCACATTCTTCGTGTTGCGTCTTATTCAGTGTATTGATGACTCAAATACGTTTTGTATAACAGAAAAAATGCAATTTAATATTTAGAAATCACATAATTGATCATTCCTATGTTAGTCATTGAGTAGATTGTACTGTAGTAATCTACTAATAGCAGTAATATCATGGATACACTAGATGTACAACAACATCTGAAAAAAGATTCACCCCAGTCTAGAAAATAATGTTTATGCTGCTAACAGACTGCCCATGTACACCCACGTACCAACGTATATACCTAGTCAGGTCATAAGTATTGTCACACAGTAAAAACTTTTCTTTTAAAATGCTGGCCACAAAAAAGTTTATTGAATTCGAATTGTTCATGAAAATAAAACTGTATACTTTTTAGAATTTTACTCATTTTTACACATGGAGTGGACGCTTAAAAAAGACCGTGTTGCAGTTGCGATTACGCGCCAATTAAATTTTTTGATATACTGAAAAATTTGAATATAACCAAAAGATTCGTTTATCGTACCATCAAACGATACAATGGAGACTCTAGTGTATGACAAGTCAAGAAGTGGTCGCCCTCGATTTGTTAGGACTCCAGCAGTGTTAAAAGCTGTAAAGGTGCGAATTCAAAGAAATCCCAAACGTAAGCAGAAACTGTTGGCCCTTCAGATGGGGTTAAGCAGAACCACGGCGTTAAATGAAGACTTAGGGCTTCGGGCATATCGAAGAAAAACAGGACACCGTTTGAATGCTCGTCTAATGGATCTGAGACTGAAGAGATGCCGCGCTTTGGTGAAGCGGTACGCGGGAAAAAAATATCGGGAAATTCTTTTTTCGGATAAAAAAATTTTTACCGTAGAAGAGAGCTACAACAAACAAAATGATAAGGTGTACGCACACAGTAGTGAAGAAGCGAGCAACCGTATTCCGCGTGTCCAACGAGGTCATTTTCCATCCTCGCTCATGGTATGGTTGGGAGTTTCTTATTGGGGCTTAACAGAGGTACATTTTTGTGAGAAAGGTTAAAAACGAATGCAGTTGTGTATCAAAATACAGTCCTGACGAACCTTGTGTAACCTGTTTCTCATACCATGTTCAATAACAGGCACTGGGTATTCCAACAAGATTCGGCGTCAGCTCATAGAGCGAAGAGCACACAAGACTTTTGACAGCTCCGTGGCTTAGTGGCTTAGCAATGAGTGGCTGCGCTTGGGGGTCGCGGGTTCGAATCCCGCACGGAACAAGTATTTGTACGACCTACAAGTAATTGTTCCGAGTTTGGATGTTTGTCCTTGTGAAATTTGTGTTTGTAAACTGCCCCCCACGATACAGGAGAAAAACCTAGTGTGGATGTAACGTTCTTTAAAAACAAAAAAAAAGACTGGCTGGCGGCGCGTGAAATCGACTTCATCCGACACAAAGACCAGTCCAGATTTGAATCCGTTAGATTACAAGATATGGTAACACTTGGAGGAAAAGGCGTGCTCAAAGCCTCATCCCAATTTCGAGTCACTCAAGACATCTTTAATTAAGGCAGCCGCCGATATGACATGGACCTCGTTCGTGGTGAGATAGACGACTGGCCGCGCAGATTGAAGGCCTGTATTCAAAATTACGGAGGTCATTTTGAATAAACTATAGTGTCATAAGAATCTATGTTTTGTTAAGTTCATTTTGGTATATAAATGGTTACATAATGAATAAACTTGTTTCAATTATTTTACATTAAACATGTGATAGAATTTATGACCTGACTAGGTAATATGCAATTTGGGTACAGATGATAAACCAGGGTCACATTGGGTAGCTTTATATATCGATACGAATGACGTCGGTGAATATTTTGATTCATATGGACGGGCACCTGTACGAAATTGTAAAAGATGGAACTGGAATGTTGATAGGACTTCAGTTTGTGGCGAATATTGCTTAATGTATTTGCTATATAAGTTTCAGGGATGTTCAATGCATAGTTTTACGAGTATATTTACAGAGAACACATTGTACAACGATATGTTAGTGGATGAGATGTTTCGCTCCTATTTTATAGATAATAAGTAATAAGATTTTGTATTTTATAAATAAAAATTTTAACAAAATTAGGTAATGTGTTTAAAAGATGGAACTGGAATGTTGATAGGACTTCAGTTTGTGGCGAATATTGCTTAATGTAGATAAGGACAATGGAGCGCTAATGACGGTTGAGGCTCGCAGCGGATATCAATTAGATAAGAGTTAATTGATCTGCACATCTCCGGAACCGTGCATCCTACGCAAAAATGGACAGATTCGTGATCA